CATTTAATATAGGTTATATTTTGAAATTTCGTTTGTCTGTGCGTCATTTATTGGGTTTCGTTCTTGAAAATGATAGAATTCACAACTCAGTATCTGAGACTGATTTAAAATCTATGAATTATTTTCCTGAAAATTCAGGTGGTGCCCCATTGTTATGCTAATAATTACGAGGTATTTATGATCTAGCATTGTCCATAACATCGACAAACAGCATATCACTACAGCTGCATATTAATGTCTAAAGCTGCAGGGATACTAAACCAGTTTTTTCATTATACTGTTCTAAAATTTGTGATTAGAGCAGAAAATTTAAATGTATATTATCTGTATTTTACAGCAAAGGTAAAAAGCAATTCTTTGACATCAGCAGGTGGGCTGGATGTATCATCATTGAACAAAACATTTCAAATATAAACTCATGATTACTTTCACCAAACAGTGGGATCCATTTCAGCAGAAAAATAGACTGAAATAATTATTTTGTGTCAAAAGGATCTGTTGTGCTGGCAGCGCTTTAGAACCACATTAAACAGATCAGCAACATTTTCTGTATTCCAGTATTTACAGTCACCAATCACTAACGTTATTTATTTCTATAAGATATATTTCTCATTTTTTTTATCAGCTATACGGTCCTATGTCAAATGATAAGTTATTTAATAATTAGTTCCTCAGTTTCCATGTTAATATGGCTGTGTCTCAATTCATGGGTTGCAACCAACGTAGACCGCGACCGAAGTTGGCCACAGTCTATGTGGGCCGTAGGTCACTCGTGTCGGCTGCATGAAGGTCTGTGAAATGAGATGGTCTAGTCTATAGAAGACGTATGTTTGTGTGACCACAAAAACATTAGAAGTAAATAAATTAAAAGCATTCATAATTTGGGTTTAGCACCAGTATCAGTAGTTGTTAAGTAAACATCAGCCATGACTTCAGTCAAAGAGCACAGTGTGGAGAAGGAGCTGAAGTCTTGTCCTGATGCATCTTAATAATCCAGGTTGAAAAGTCTATTAAGCCAGGTCCTCTGGACGAGTTATTTTTTAAACGTTTTGTCTCTTCTCCAAGAAATTTCTTCAGCCTGAGGAGTTTCAGGTAAACTCAGCCTTATAAGCTGTAACTTTACAACATGGATCAACCATTTAAAATGGTATCATTTAGTTTATAATTCAGATTTTGGTTGATCTGACTGAGAACCAAGACAATCTTCACTTTACTCTGACAGCTCTCATGTTTGGGTCACAATTCTTGATAATCAGCAGCTCCTTAACATCTGCAAGGACTCTTTTCAATGTTGTCCTGTTTTGTTTATTCAGAATTGTATAAGGGTTAGCAAAGTTTCATTAGATTTATCAGATTCAAAATAAATTAAATAAATTGACTCTTTTAATATTTTTTGAAGAACTTGAGCATTAGAATGGCTTGAATCTTCCGCTATTTAATCCCATAGGTTCATATTAAGTCAGTATTTAACCCTTAACACACTCACTGACAAAAACAAACAAACAAACAAACAAACAAACAAACAAACAATAAAACCTTCAGCACCTAGCAGAACAGGTGGTCCACGTACAGACCAGTAATGGATCCTTAATGATCCGATCTGCATCAGGCACCAAAGGCTCTGCATTGTGGCATCATGAGTTTGAGTGTTATCAGGCAGATGCTGGAGCATGTAAGAGTGAAACAGTGAGTGAAGGGCAGCAGACACACCAGCATCATCAGCACTTGTCAGGATTTTTTTAGGGTCATTCTACAGGATTTCATGAGGCTAGGCGGTCAGATTAGCATATTAACTGGCATGTGGAACAAACATGTCACTGTTGTGTCGTGTTGGAACCAGTAAGCACACACATATCATGAAGGTTCCTGTAACTAAACACAGACCACACTAAGGACAACTGGACTGCACTCCTGGTGTTTTAGAACTACCTGCAATCAGCTTTGTTTTGGACACAGGTCTTGGACTCTTTACAAACCTCAAGTCTTCCTGCCACATGTCTCAGTGACAGCTATCAGCAGACTACAGGTCTTTCTGACTTGTTGGCTGCTACTTGTCAGGGCAGAGGTGGCTGTGTCTCAGTTCACAGGCTGCATCCTCATGAGTACTTAGCCAAGCTGGGCCATGTGGGCCACGTCCATCCCAGTCACGGTAGGCTGCATGAAACTGCTGTGAAATGAGACAATCTAGCCTTCACTAGACACAAGTTTGTGTGACCACATGCTGCTCTGTGACCATAGTGATCGGTTTTATATCATGTACATTCAGAATTAAAATGCGTTGGAACATGTATTTAAATGTCTTTTTACTGGAAGAATAACACAATATCACAGTTAAAACATTACACATAAATAAATTTTAAAATAAAATAATTTGGTTTAGCTCCAGTATCAGTACTTGTAGTTGTATTTTATTTTATTTATTGTAGCATAATTTTCTTCAGCTAAGTTGCTAAACTTACATTTATAAACAGATTCTTCTGTCCCTGATGAATTTCCAAACTACTCCACCATCTTTGTTTCTATATTTAGTTTGCTGGAGTTGGAAAATCTGAACTTTTGCAGCTCGACGCAGAGCTTCAACCAACCAGAGACTCCACTTTGTGACATAGTGACAGATTTTGCGACGGGACAGTTTCCTGAATAATGTCCAATAAAGTGAGACAGATGGACATGAGCTTTTCAGCCGAAATTGTGTCTGTAGTCGATGTCCTGACAGGAGATATCGGCACCAATGTGGGTCAGCTGCTCATCAAACTGGACTTAGGACAAAAATATTCTGAAAGTGCAATGCTTCAAGAGCAGTTTTGACTTGCGTCTGACCTGAAAGTGCACAAGTGTCCGACTTGATGCTTTGGACGCAGTTTTGATGCTGAAATCACATTCGGTGTGAACGCAGCATAAAGAGATTTACACTCCAGACATTCACCCATCCATACACTGATGGTGCTACATTGTAGCCCCAGCTGCCCTGGGACACACTGACAGAGGCGGGGCTGAAAATTCACCAGTGCCACAACCATCAGCAGGCAAGGCGTTGTGAAGTGTCATGCCCAAGAACACATCGACTGAAACAACTGGAACGGGGTATTGAACTGGCAACCCTCTGGTTACAGGATGACTCCACTAACCACTCCAGCTTACAAAGTACATTCTTATTTTATGGACAGATTATTTCATTTAACTCGAGTCTGAATCTTTTCAAATTTCACAAGTTAAGTAAAATAATCTGTCCATGGAATAAGATAATTGGTAAGATTTTTTTTGAAATAAGGAACATTTTCAGGCTAACAAGACTAATAATCAAACATATTCTGCTCTTGTTTAGAACATAAGCCTGAAAACAAGATCAAAAATACTTGTTGGCTGATATAAGACTAAAAGACTTGAACAATATTTGCAGCTCTGATGTCCAGCGCTGATCTTGCTGGATCTGGAGGTCCAGTTCTAACAGTTGTCGGTGGAGCTGCTGCAGATCATACAGCAGCTGTGACTCTGTTCTGCTCCGAATCTCTACTTGAGTCCAGGGCTGAGTGAGGGACAGCACCCTACTGACATGAAACCAAATCTAGGCTTTTATTACCAGCTCTGATCTTGTTTTGTAATCTTTGTAATAAAGTCACATGACATTTTAACACGTGCAGCTTTAGTTTATTTCCATCATGCTGACTGGGTGATTAACTTTTTGTTGTTGGTGATTGTAAATAAAGAGCTCTGGGATCAAATCAGCTAGGGTGACATTAAATTTTATAACTTCTCTTGGCTCTTTTTTAATTCTGTTTTTAGTGTTTAACACGTATTTTGCTTTGTTTCAGTGTGTTTTATGAGCTACTCTACAGACAAACTTTTAGTGTAAGGCAGCCAGCAGTAAAGCAGAGCTGCCCTCTGACAGGTCACAGTAACCTGGACACAGCCTCCAGTGTGTGGCTAACAAGCTCCAGCTGTACATGCAACAAATAAAAGACAGCCAGGCTACATCTGTATCATCATCATCATCATCATCATCATCATCAGCAGCAGCAGCAGCAGCAGCAGCAGCGGCGGCAGCAGCAGCAGCAGCAGCAGCGGCAGCAGCAGCAGCCCCACAGGGCTCCTTCAGAGACACCATTCGGTCGGAGCTGTGTGGGACGGCCCTCTGCTGCAACTCCACATCCACACGTTTAATAAGAAACAGAACGAACACAGCCACAAACACAGGAAGGCTGATTCTCAGAGAGGGAGGCGTTTTTCAAAACGAACTTTCCAGACACATTTATTGGGCCGATAACATTACTCAAACACAGTGTATGACCATTGTAAACAAGAAAACAGAAAAAGGCATCAGCTCGTACGGAGCTCAGAGTGTGCCAAGCTGTTTCATTTCTTTAACTTTTCTCTTTTTTTTAAATCTTCTTTAAATATCGTTTTTTATCTTGATTCAGTATTTTTTACACCATCATTAATTTTCTCCAATATTGATAATAATAATAATAATAATAATATTAATAATAATAATAATAATATGTACAAATGAGGCAAAGACACTGGTTGCTCTGAAGCTTTTTGCTTGTTTCCTGTGACATGACTGTTTGGGGGGAAATGACAGAATAAGGCTGTGTTCCATCTTTGTTTTGAATGCTGATTACATGCCCTGTTGGTGACAGTAATGAAACGAGTCCTGTTGTTTTGATCGGGCGGGGTGGGGGCAGTGACTTAGTCCTTATATTGTCCCACTGATGGCAACATCTTTTATGTACAAAGCCTTTCAAGTTACGAGAGGTTGTCAGCTGGGAGGATATCAAATAAATTCTTGTATATGTATTTTTTTCTTCAAATGTCTTTTTTTTTTCTCCCAAAAACAGTGTTGGTATCAAAATGTCCATATAGATGTAGTCATACAGTGGGGGAAGGGGGTTTGATGTGTTAGATCAAGGGTTCCAACAGTTCTTGATGTATGAAAAGTAGTCTCTTTGTTTTTAAGTTCCTTCTTTCAAATAATGACCGGTGTTGTCTGTCTTTGTACAATGCCATGAAAAGTTCTTGGATGAGAAAGTAGCCTTAAGACCAGTTTTCACATCTTTAACATTGTCCTCTTCTTCTGTTCTTCTCTTCTTACATTCAGTTCCTCTTCATGCTTATCCAAGGGGGGCTTATTTCAGCAACCACTCATTCACTGGGAAAAAACAAAGAAGAAAGATGTGAGGATGATGCTTTACATATAAAAATACAAGTCTTTAGAAATGGATGATGCTACAGGCCAAAGTGCCAACATCCATCATCTTTCTTCTAAAATGACCAATCATTTGATTGAACTTATTTTTTAATATTCTAATCTGACAAAACACCAAACTATAAACCAATCTAGAAACTATAAATGTAAGTGTAAACAGGACCAAGATGAAATACTGTATATATATATA